CCATGGTGAATGATGGTGGAAGGAAATCTTGTGCTTGAAAGCCTGGATGTTCATGGCTGACTAAGATCACAACAGCCCTAGTTTTCTTCTTTGGTTTATGGCTACAAATCAAGGGCAGCATTATGCCTCTTCCTAGTTTATTGTAGTAATCATAGTTATAATGCTGGCATGTTATGTTGGCATTGTGCCTAAGACTACTTTGTTTGGTTTCTTAATACTTAATCCTGTTTTATATTTACTTTCTGATGGCTTAAAATCAACCTGATTTTAATTACTAATGCAGGAGAAGCCAAGCTGGCCATGGGCTAGCAAGCAACTTGGTTTTATCTTTCATACTTCTCTCTCAAGCTAGGCATTTTCAGAAAATTGTATTGACTTGGTATATAAACATAATATTCAAACCAAAATTACGGTAATTATTTGTCTAGTCCTAATACCATTCTCCTTTATTTAATATACTTTTTATTAATATATATGGATTCTACAAATTAATGGGCTTCATTTGTTATATTTATGTATGTAAATGCCATACTTGGATTTTTCTTATTACTCTTCCTGCTCTGCCCTCCCCGTACTTTCACATTTTGAGGGGATGTAACAGTCTTGAGACTTCGGGGAGAACATGGTGGACAAATACCAGCAGCCACGGAGGCTCTCTGAGATTACCAGCTTAGAATCAGGAGCGGTGCCGTGTGAGGAGTCCCACACAAGGGGAGATGTACCTTGCCGACCCAGGAACAAAGTAAGCTGAGAGAAACCAACTGGAAATGCAATCCTGATGCTATAACAGGAACAGATAAAATCTCAGTGCGGAAGCTGGATCCCGCGCCATTGGAAGCCGCAATTTGAATGTCCTGCTGCCGATACTGCGTCCCAATCTGCACGGCAGGGAGAGAGATGTGCCCAAGCTCTGGGAGCGGGAATTGGCCCAAACGACCTTGAGAGCGGGACTGGCTCGACCTGCAGTGAGTGAAATGGGGACCCTTTCATAGACTAGGAGGCTCCAACAGAGGACATTCTGGGAACAGGCAGACTAGCCGGAACACAGCCCTGGAGTGACTTTAGTCGCATATTCCCCTCTCTAGCGGGAGTGGTGGGGAGCGCTTGGCCTGGTGATGCCGCGGACTAAGATCCAGTAGGCTAGCCCAAACCAGGTCCCTGCACCTGGCGATGCACTCTAGCAGTGACCTTCACTAGGTTAATCTGGAGGGGCAGGCCCAGCAGAGGCTGCCCGGGTCTGTGTCTCCCTAGTACACTGCAGTGGGCAGGAACATCTAGCCCGCGGATTCAAACAAACTGCCACAAAGAGAAAAAAAAAAAAAAACTGAGCCTCCTACATATGCTTGTATGGAAGGAACAAAAAGTATGGGAAAAGGGAGCAACAAGAAAGGCTCCTCAGTCCCCAATCCTGAGAACACTGATCAAGGAAAGGTAAAAGCAAAAGAGAATGAAGACAGAAAACATGCAATATCAGACACGGCACCTATAGATATAAAACGGTATCTCCGGAGCCTCATAGACGAATTCAAAAATGAAGTATTTAATGAAATAAAGCAAGAAATAAGTAGAATAGTTAGAGAAATGCTAAGCACCACCCAAGAAAAAACAGATGGTGGAATGGAAGAACAGAAAAAAAGGGGAGAATTGTTTGATGGAGAAAATAGAGAAAACATAGAATACGTGAAGCAGGTTCACAGAGATTACAAGGAAACTAAAAACTCTATTGAAAGCTGGCATAACAGCTTGAAAGAAACTAAGGATAGATTATCAGAACTGGAGGACAGATTTGTAAGGTGGGAACATGAAATGAAAAACTTCTTAAAAATAACAAGAAGACAAACAGCAATAATACAAAGACTAGAAGATGACAAGAGGATCTATAACTTAAGAATTAGGAACATAAAAGAAGAAGTAGGGACTCAAACAAATGAACTACAAAAGCTATTCACAGAAATAATCCAGGAGAATTTCCCTAATTTAACAAAAGGCAAAGATACTCAGATGTATGAGGCATACAGGACCCCAGCCACCTACAACCCAAACAGAGCTACACCCAGGCATATAATAATCAAAATTCCAGAAATCCAATATAAGAACAGAATATTAAAAGCTGTCAGAGACAAGAAACAGATCACTTACAAGGGTACACCCATCAGAATTACAGCAGACTTCTTGGCACAAACCATCAAATCACGAAGAGCGTGGGGGAAATAATTCAAGCTTTGAAAGATAATAACCTCCAGCCAAGATTGATATATCCTGCACAACTGTCCCTAGAAATTGATGGAAAAACAAGGTGCTTCCAGGATAAAGAGGAACTAGGGGAATTTGCAACCACCAATTCAACTCTACAGAGATTACTGCAGGATATTCTAAAAATGAAAAATACCAAGATTCCAGAAACAGTGGCAGAGTGGCCACAATGAATGGAGCAGAAAGCGAAATGAAGAGGACAAACTGACAACTAATGACAGAAAAAGAGCTCAACAGAAATGAGGCAGAGAAGGTTGGATGGTAGGAACAGCCATTTTGGAGAAAACAAGACATCATAATAGGTAGTGCTGATTTAATATCCTCTTATATTGAAGTCTCATCAAGCTTTTGTTCTTCTGCCTCCATCGGTTTTCTTTTTTTTTTTTTTTTTTTTTTTGGCTTTTTCGTTTTTACCGGTACCAGGGATCGAACTCATGACTGCCTGCTTGCAAGGCAGGCGCTTATGCCACTGAGCTAAATCCCCAGCCCCCTCTCCATCGGTTTTAATGTGTTGTGTATCTTACTGGATTTTATTATATGTGATAATATAAACAAAAACTTTTATAGACAAGGAGATTATACATTGTTCATTTTCTGTTAGTTGATTCTAAATAACCTGTAATACTGTCATTCTCTTGAATGGTTTTACATTGTCTTGATATGTTTGATGCTACAGTATACGAAGTTATACCCAAAGATTTTAATGGAAGAGACACAATGGTAACTACTATTATGTTGAGATTATCTTGTGGTGAAACACTATTTTGCTTAAATGGCTGTGTTTTGACCTGCACTGTTTTGTTGTTATGCCCTCTTTTTTATCTCAATTTCCTTTTTATTATCTACTTTTTCATTTTTATCCTTTTAATTAAGGGAAAAATAAATAAAAAATAGCAGGATATATTATAGTAACCCACTTTGATTTCCTATTAACTTGATTTGAAATTCTGTATTGCTCTCACCATCTTGTTTTGACTAATTTTCCTCTATTCTGTTATGCTAGATAGTACCAAGTTTGAAAGTCTAGGCAACAACTATGAAGACAATAAGATCCATTGTGACGCCCATTCTGGCTGACTTATTATCTTCTTTTGAAGTCCTCTAATGTCTCCAATGTTTTGGTTTTATTGGTCTTATTCTTTACTGTTTTGTTCAATTTTATTATAACTGATGATATAGGCAATTCTTTTTAAGATAACGAGACATTATGGTAACCATTGTTGATCACCTTGTGTTTTGTTTTTACATTATGTATTATGTCCATCCTTTTCATTTGACTGACTCTGTCCTGATATGTCACATTTGGTTTTACTTTCTTCAAAAAAAAAGTAATAACTGTGGGAGTAATAAAACCCAAAATGTGTAATTGTCATTGTACAAAAGAAAGGAAAAGAAAGTTCTCTAAAAGATATAACTGCATATACATTTAAGTGTATAAGATAGATAACCATATTACTGAGTTTTGTTGGATTATTGAACAAAACTTTGCAGTCTCACTGTTTGAAAGTCCCCTCTATATGCTTTAATTTTGTAACTTCAACAACTGTTTCTAAGATGACAATATGCAATTAACTAGTGATTTCCTACTGTTTATTTTTTCTGAAATTCTGTATAACTTGTACCCTTTTTCTGTTTTTTTTTCTTTTTTCTCCTTAAATAAAATTTAAAAAAAAAAATTTTGAGGGGGTGGATTTCAGTGCTTATATAGTCTATTCTCCTGCCCCTTCTTTCCTTCCTGCTCTCTTGAATAGTCTGTATAGATGCCATCTCCTGCTGTCTAGGTTTTAGTCTGATCATAAATATCATGAAATTATTAGTATGGTTGTACAATTATTTTTCGTGAAGAACTGTTTTTTTTTCTGCCCAGAAAATAAAAGTTTTAAGAGAAATAATAACAGCTATTTTCAATGAATGTACCTTACTGGAAAAATCAGCCAAAAGAAGTATTTATGAAGCATCATAAAACTAGTGGTAGCATGGTGTGGTGCCATTTATCTGTAATCCTAGAGAGGCAGGAGGATCACAAGTTCAAGGAAGTGACATAGTAAGACCCTGTATAAAAAACAGAAATAAGGGGCTGGGGATTTAGCTCAGCAGCATAAGTGCCTGTCTTGCAAGCAGGCAGTCGTGAGTTCAATCCCTGGTACCAATAAAAACGAAAAAGACAAAAAACAAACAAACAAAAAAACAGAAACAAGAATCCAAGGAAAATAAAAATAGAAGATAATGGTGGTAATAGTGTTTAAGGTTGATTTTTTTTTTTCCCTCATTGTTTTCCTGGCTTCTCGCACTGCAGTTGTGTTGTTTTGGGGTTTGGAACAAAAAGAGTCATTATGTTCTTAGATATAGCACATGCTTAGTACACAAAGGATATAGAATATTTTCAGATAAGGGATTAAAACTGGATGATATCAATCATGAGATCCAGGGGGCTGGGGATTTAGCTCAGCGGCATAAACGCCTGCCTTGCAAGCAGGCAGTCGTGAGTTTGATCCCTGGTACCGAAAAAGACCAAAATACAAAACAAAACAAAACAAAAAACATCATGAGATCCTTTCTCAGAAGAGTATGTTCTATACTTCCTTATGGGCATTCACCAGTGCATTTGGGCCAGACAATTTTTTCTGATGCTACCTCATTTCGTACGTTTATGTTATCATTTAGTGCTACATAGTGTTTTTCAGGGTTTATATGCTCCACCATGCTTGAACTATCAGTAATAGAGGATTGTTTGTTGTGTTTTGTAGGTTACTTCATGTAAGAAATGGAAACTGCAAATATCATTTGGGTGAAGAAACATTTAAGTTAGCGCAGACATATATGGATAAACTGTCAAAACATGGCCAGCAAGCAAACAAAGCTGCACTCTATGGAGAATTGTGTGCCCTCCTGTTTGCAAAAAGTCACTATGATGAGGTAAGTGTTTTAAGCCACTTTCCCTTATGTTCACCAAGTACCTGTAAAACTGGATAAACTGAGTGCAGTAGTACTTGTCTGTTATCTGAGCACTCAGGTAGCAAAACAGAGACAGTAGAATCACCATGAGTTCTATGCCAAACCGAGCTATAATAGTGAGTTCAAGGCCAGCCTGAACAATAGAGAGATCCTGTCTTAGAAAAAACAAACAAAACAGCCAGGCATGGTGATGCACAACTGTAATTCCAGCACTTGGGAGGCTGAAGCAGAAGTTTAAGGCAGTCTGGCCTACATAGTGAATCCAAGGCCAGCTTGGACTCTAGCGAGACTCTGTCTCAAGAACACCAAAATGAATGAATGAATGAATAAGAGCAAGAAAGAAAAAAGCAGGATAAATCAAATAGTCTTCTATATATTTCTTATAAATCTCATTTGCACATAGTGCGTTTACTGAAAGCTATACAGATTTGAGGCCAGGCATGATACACTCCTGTGATCCCAGCACTTGAGAGCCTGAGACAGGAGGATTGCTGTAAGTTTTCAGCTAGCCTGGGCTACATAGTGAACTCAGGGCCATCTTGAACTACACAACAAAACCAAAAAAAGTGTACACATTTGTAATGGAATGCTTAAATTCAGACCAAAGGAGTATTTGGGAGATGGATTTTAAATACGTATGTATATACTAGAGGTTTTGTTTTGTTTTGCTTTGAGACAAGGTCTCACTGTGTAGCCCAGGATGGCCTCACATTCACATCAGCTCTCCTTCAGCTTCCTGGGTGCCGAGTTTACAGGTGTACACCACCACACTCTACTCTTGAACCAGCTGTGTTTCTGCCTAAATTGTTTCGGTGGCTGTACTCTGCTAGTTTGTGTGTGTGTGTGTGTGTGTGTGTGTGTGTGTGTGTGTGTGTGTGTATGTGACCATTTCTGGTTTTTTAAATTGAAAAGTGATCTGTATGTGCTTAACTCTTTTTCTTGGTTGCTTTATTGTGGAAGAATATCATCATTTCATGCTATTAGATAGCTATCACTTAGCTTTTGTTTTGTTTTTTTTCTGTTAGTTGGTTTTTTTGGTACTGGGGATCAAATTCATGATCTTGTGCTTGCCAGGCCCTAGCTTTTATTTTTTAAAATTATTCCTATCTAGATTTTTTCCTCCGTTCTATTCCTAATATATTTCCGTACTTAATGGAAAATTGCAACTAGAGTGAAAACAGAAAATTGTATAATAGTTGCAAGGTGTTTGTGCTAGAATCATCCTACTTTTCATAGCTATATGAGGACATGGCAAGCCAGCGTGTAAATGTCTATTATTTATCAGCCTGCCTACATTTTTTTAAGGAAGTTTATATTGTACTTATTTTTGATTTTGAGTTTCTATGTTTCTATCTTGTCCCATTGGTAAATTGTTTTGCTGGCCCTTATGTGTAGTTGTTTATCATTTAAAATTAAGTAACACTTGATTTAGTATTAAGTAATACAAGTTCTCCAGATGCTTGCCTTTTTTTTTTTTTTTCTTTTTCTGTCTCTAAATAGGAACTAATCTCTGGGTCTTTTCATTTCTTCTTTTCTGGTTTTTTATTTATTTATTTTTTTTTTTGGTGGGGGGCGGTACTAGGAATCAAACTGGGATCCTGCGCTTGCCAGGCAGGCACTTGTGCCGCTGAGTTACATCTCTGGCCCTATTTCTTCAAGTCTTTCATTTCTTTTCAACTCTTCTACAGTCCCTAGGATTTTTGTTATTACATAGAGTAGTTGATATCTTGTCACTTTTTTTTAGAGTGATACTGTGGACTGAACTCAGGGCCTTCACACTGAGCTACAGCTCACCACTTTTTTATATTTTACTTTGAGACAGGGTCTCACTAAGTTGTCCAGGCTGAGCTGGAACTTGCAGTCCCCCTGCCTTAGTCTCTCAGAGCACTGGTTCTGGCCATTCTCTTCTCAGGTGACTTTCACTTATGAGTTTCTATTTTTCTTTAGCTAGTCTGCTAACAACTTAGCAGAAAGTTCTCTTCATAAATCTATGTTTAACACTTTATACTGTGCCTCACTTATGGTCTTTACAACTGTCAGCACATTCATGAAGAATTTTTAAGTCTTTTGATGTTTCTTGGATAATTTTAACAGTTTAGTCTTTGAAATATAAATCAACTTTTTATTGATATCTGTAGGAAACTACATATATCTTGATAGAGTGTGCAGGATTATCACTAAGTTATTACTAGTCAGGATGGTATATACTGAAGCAGTATGAGTCCCAAAGTAGCAGTGTCTTAGAACACTAAAAATTTCTTACTTATGATTGGGATAGCTGTAGTTACACTTAACATTGCCTGTGCACTTTGATGATGACCCACTGTCACTTAGCACATTACCAGGGTCATTATAAACCTTGGAATAAGGGCAGAAACATCATGAGAAACACAGCTAGCTTTTTTGGACTTTTCTCTTAGGAATGACCCATTGTATTCCTGCTCATGCTATAGCTGACTAAAGGAAATCATGTGGCTACACATAGTTGGAGGAGTTGGGGGGATGCTAGGGCTTGAATCAGGCAAGCCATCAGCTTCTGACCTGAGAGCTGCACCACTGCCCTCACACTTGTCTTTAATTGGAAGAAAAGCGTATCTTCCCAAAATGAGAATGGGGAAAGACAATCGGCGTTTTAAACCAGTATTACGGTGTACCCAATTCTAAAGACTGCATCTGATTACTTGGAAACAAAATAAGCTTATTTAGTGTCTTGTAAAGATAGATCTAAATTTCAGTGTGATTATAGCTTTTATTTCATTTTTATACCATAGTTACTTCCAAATAGCTATCTCTTAAATGAAATGGAAGAAGAAACTTACACAAGAGAACAAATGATTATTTGCTTTTTTTTTTTTTTTTTCATTTTTTCCTTTTTTCTCTTTTTTTCTGGTACCGGGGATCAAACTTACGACCACCTGCTTGCAAGGCAGGTGCTTATGCCACTGAGCTAAATCCCACAGCCCCCAAATGATTATTTTCTAATGTGTTTTCTCCTTTTGTAATCCCTTCACAAAATTGTTTTCTTTGTGGCAGTGATCACGACCCAAAATAATTCACCTTTTCTTTTTTCTCTCATGCTAATTCGTGGTATAGAAGTGTTTTGGTTTGGTTTGGTTTTTGAGACAGGATCTTGCTTAGTTTCCCCAGGCAGGTCTCAAAGTTGCATTGGTCTCGCTTCAGTCTCCTGGGTAGTTGTGGTTACAAGTGTGTCTACTGCACCCACACTAGTTTTCATTTGTTTCCCATTGTGTAGCTAGATGCTACTTCATTGCTTGCCACTTCTCTGCACCTCATGGAACTGTTTTAGTTAACATGTAAATGCAGATAAAGAGCTTAGAACAATAGCCAGCACAAAATGAGCACTCAGAAGGCAATTAAAGTATAAAATATTATTAAGTGTTTACAATAGGGGAAGCAAAATACAGGAAACCTACTTGGGCTGAAACCTGAACAAGTTAGGCAACTTAGAAGGGTGGAAGAAAAGGGCATGCATTCTAAGGCAGAAGTAAAGACTTGTGCAAAGGCTTCTGGGACAACCTAGGTGTGGTAGCTGTAATCCTAGCACTTGGGAGGCTGAGGCAGGAGGATTGCTATGAGTTGGAGGCTAGCTGGTTCTACACAGTGAGTTCAAGGCCAGTCTGCATTACATAGTGAATCCCTGTCTCAAAAAAAGAAAGGCTTCTAGGACAAATAAGAATGTGTTAAACACCTGCAAATGGTGATTCTGAAACGTTTCAGGTATTAAGAGTAAAATAAGAGTTGGGCAAGGTGGTGTGTGCCTTTAATTCCAATACTCAGGAGCCTGAAGGATTGCTGCAAGTTTGAGGCTGGCCTGGGCTACATAGGGAATTCAGGCGCAGCCTGAACTGTATAATGAGCCCCTGTTCCAAAAAAAAAAAAAAGTAATTTGACAGATAAATATTATCAAAAAGATTTAGCCTCAGAAAATTTTATGTATAAGTATTTTGTGCATGTTTGTGTTTAGGTAAAAACCCATTCATTTCATTCATGAGAATTTCGCATTCATTTTGTCAGTGCTATCAATTTGATTCATAACCATTTGTTCTTAAATTTTTTTAGGCATACAAATGGTGCATTGAAGCAATGAAAGAAATTACAGCTGGCTTACCAGTTAAAGTTGTGGTGGATGTTCTAAGGCAAGCTTCTAAGGTGAGTACAATGTTAAAAGTATTAAGTACAGTATGGGATTCACTAGGCCTCCCCTTTGTTGTAACCTAGTTAATGTATATGGCATGCACAACAAGTTCTGCTTTCTGTTGTGCTCAATTTTAGAAGCGTGATTTCTCTAGCCCAAAGTATCTGACCTAAGTAATTAATTTCAATTTTGCTTCACCAAAATAACCGGTAAAATACTTCATTTTGATAATTGATTTAGATCACTGAAACACAGATCAAAGTAGTATTTTGTTACTATTCAGGCACAAGGTTTTGTTTTTCTTAAAGTTTGTACAGTAATGTGAATTCCTTAGGCCAAAGCTGCACAGGCTGTGGTAGCTTCTCTGAAAGACTGGCCTAGTATTGACAATATGGCAGTCTCTGAGCATGGCAGCATGCTGTACCTGACCTACTGGGCAATCTTTAATTTTTTTTCTGATTCTTATTCTTTAAATAAATGCAGAGGGGCCAGGGATTTAGCTCAGCAGCACAAAGCACCTGCCTGGCAAGCTTGAGGTTGTGACTTTGGTCCCCAATACCCTCCCAAAAAATATGTATGTATGTAAATATGTGTGTGTGTGTGTGTGTGTGTAATAAAATTTAAAAATAAATAAATGCAGTAGGTCTTTGAAGCCATTTAATAGCATTTAAAAATTACTACTTTGGCTCAACATGGTAGTATATGCCCATAATCCCAGTACACCAGTACATGTTTAGGAGGCTGAGGCAAGAGGATCACTAGTTGTGAGGCCAGGCTAAAACACATAATAAGACCCTATCTCAAAAAAAAAAAAAAAAAAAAAAAAAATAGCTTTGGTTAAATAAACAAACAAATAAATATAGCTTTAGTATACTAAAGCTTAAAAACATTAATGTATTTTCCACATCTACTCTTTATGTATACTTAAGTTTCTCAAATTTGGCTGGTCCAAAGGTAGTGAGTTATCTCAACTGATTGTTCACAGTCAGTACAGATTGAACTCCTTGTTCTACTCTTTCCCCCCTTCTCACTATTGCACTTGACTAGTCTTAAAAAAAAAAGTTTCTCAAATTTGAGTATTCCCTTTTGGTTGGTTTTACTGGTGGAAATTCAGTTGAAAAAAATATTATAAAATTGTAGATTTAGGGGCTGGGGATTTAGCTCAGCGGCATAAGCACCTGCCTTGCAAGCAGGCAGTCGTGAGTTCAATCCCGGTACCAATAAAAACGAAAAAGGCCAAAAAAAAAAAAAAATTGTAGATTTAGAAGATTGCTATATTTACATAAAATACTAAATCAGTCATTTTAGAACAGGTAAGCAGAGGCAAGGGATATTGCTGTGTTGTTTTTAACTCAGAACATTTAATATGAAGACAGCATAATATACAAGAGGCACATTTCTAAATTCAAATGCTATGTAGAATTTATAAACTTGGCTATCTTCATGGTTTAAAATATTGTAAAATATAATATGAAAACTTAAAATTCTGGGATTTTTTTTGGGTGGTGGTTTAACACAGAGTCTCACTATATAGTTCAGGCCAACCTTGAACTCACTATGTAGCAGTCTGGCCTCAAACTTTCAGTGGTCTCCTACCTCAGCCTCCCAGCGTCTAAGCTTTTTTTTTTTTTTTTTTTTTGGTACTGGGGATGGAACTTATGACTGTGCACTTGTAAGGCAGGTCCTTAATGCTGCTGAGCTAAATAACCAGCCCCATCTGAGCATTTTAAAATTACTGGTTGAGGCTGGGGATATAGCTCAGTGGCAGTGTCTTCCTGGTAAGCACAAGGTCATGAATTCAATTCCCAGTACTGTAAAAAGAAAAAAAAATTACTAGTTGAAACCAGGCATGGTGGTATAAGCCTACCATCCTAGCGCTTGGGGAACTGAGGCAGAAAGATTGCCAAGAGTTGAGGCCAGCCTGGCCTACATAGTAAGACTGTCTCAGAATACCAGACAAAGCTGGGCATGGGATGTGGCACATACCCGTATTCCTAGCACTTAGCAAATTACTAGTTGAATAGATGGACAACCAGCCTAAACATGCCCAGTCTTGGTTGATCTCATGAACTGAGCAGATTTGGTCCTGGTTGTTACTTGGATTGGAAACTATCCAATATCAGACACTGTAGGCTTAGAAAAAAAAATTTTATTAATGAAGAAAACTGAAAAAAAAAATCATTGTAAGTCACTCCAGAACCAGAGTAACTACCTTAGAAAATACTGTGGAAGCTGGGTCCAATGGTGCACTCTTGTAATCTAACACTTGGGAGGATGAGGAAGGAGGATCGCTGTGAGTTTGAGGCCAGCCTGGCCTACAATGGTGAAACCCTGCCTCAAAAAGAAAAAAGAAATTAAAAAACCAACTGTGATTAATCCTTCCCCAACCATTTTATTTTACAAACATGGGAGAGTACACTAGCTTTCTAAAGTAATTTTATTATAATAGGTTTATTCTGAGAGTGTCAAAATTTTACTTTATAATTTTCCTAGGTTGTATAACAGTGTTTATAGAATTTTCAGGTATTTGAAAGGGAAAAAAATTGTAAGTGAAACTTATGTTTGAAAATATTTTTCTTACTAACTATATTATAGTCAGATACATACACTGTACTTATTGCAGCACACTGAGGACTGTTTGAGAGTTTTTTAACAATTTTTTTACTTTATCTACAGGCTTGTGTAGTAAAACGTGAATTTAAGAAGGCAGAACAGTTAATTAAACATGCAGTGTATTTAGCACGGTAGGTAATTATTACTAAAAATCTCATTTTCAATTGTTGCTCTGCTTCATATTCTAATAGTTCTGTGTCTTTTTTTTATTTTAGAGATCATTTTGGACCCAAACACCCCAAATACTCTGATACATTGCTAGATTATGGCTTCTACTTACTCAATGTAGATAATATCTGTCAGTCTGTTGCAATTTATCAGGTATGTTAATGATTGCCTTTTTTTTCTTTCAGTCTAAATTGATTTGTTGACCTGTATTTGTTTGTGATATATAAACCACTATCTAAAAATAACTTTTTTGAACCCTTCCTGGTCTGATGGAGCCATCACTTCACTGAGTATTACTTAAAAGGCTGAAAAAATAATGCTTCAGAGATTAAAGAGAATCAGTCAAGAAAGGAATTATGGGTTGTGGGCCCATATTTAAGTTTTCACTCTTTCATTTGTCTAGGTTATGGCTTGGTTTAACAAATATCAATATAGCTGCCTTCTTAGCAACCAGTGCTGATAGCAATAATTTCAGGCCTCATCATAGTCATTCTTAGGTAAATGATGAATGTACCGTAGCCACAGACAAAGTAGCCTTGACCTTGATGTTCACTTTTGGAGAGAGACCTAGAGAAACCACTGATGTGATTCTAAAGAGGGAGGAATGATTATTAGTAAGCCATTGCCTTTTTAAGTCTGTGTGGTCTTCACAAAATTCCTCAGCAGGACTTTTTTGCTTGAAAACTTACTGATTTGGGTATATGTGTCATTAGAATATTTAATTTAAATGAAGTGATACTCTCTAAATGTTGACAGTATTATTAAATGCCTTTATGATTCTTTCAGGCAGCCCTTGACATTCGACAGTCAGTGTTTGGTGGCAAAAATATCCATGTAGCAACAGCTCATGAAGACTTGGCTTACTCTTCTTACGTTCACCAGTACAGCTCTGGGAAATTTGACAATGCACTGTAAGCGTCATGTTCTTGTTCAGTGTAGGATTAAACACTATTTTTTTGTTTGTTTGTTTGGTTGGTTGTCTTCCCTATTACAATAGTATGTAATATTCTTTATATGTCAAATTTGTCTTTTTAGAGCTTTAAGAGGATACCTAAACATAATCATACTAATTTATAAGCTTTTCACTTAGACATCATGTAGTTTAATATTGAGACTTAAAAACATATATCTGTCTGGAATATAACTCATTGAGTAATTTTTCTTTGAGTAATGCAGTAAGTTCTGGCTAAATAGCAGACTTAAACATCTAAAAATAGCTGAGAGTGGAAGTGTATGTCTGTAATCTTAATACTATAAGGAGACTGAAGCAGGAAGATCTCAAGTGTAAACCCAGCCTGGACAACTGCACAAGACCCTGTCTGAAGATCAAAAAAGGCTGGAGAAAGTGCAGTCCTTGGGTTTAATTCCCACTACTGTTAAACATGAAAACCTAAAAAGTTCTTGTTCAAAACACATGAAAATGTAAACCATTATGTCTCTTACATGTAGTAAGCTTTTTAGAGTATGGAGAAATCCCTATAAACTAATAATAGGCTACTGGGCATAGTGATGCATGCCTGTAATCCCAGTACTGGGGAAGCTGAGGCAGGAGAATCCTTCCAAGTTTGAGACCAGCTTGGGCTACAAAGTGAGCTAAAGGCCAGCCTGAACTGCATAGTAAGACCTTTTCTCAAAAAGACAAAAACAAAAAATCACTAATAATGACATTGAAATCCAAAGGGAGGAACTGTAGTATAACTAGTTTGAGATGGAAGGAAAGCTTAGATGTTTTATAACTTCAATTGTACAGTAATAATACTGGGTTTATGAAACATTTAGCCTTTGGGGACTAGTTAGAACTCTCACATGAAGTCAAGAACAAGGCAGTGGCCTTAGGGAGCGAGGTATGGAGAAGTGTCCATTGGCAGAGATGACAAGGAAACTTGTTCATTTGAATGTGGGCTCAAATTAACAACAGAAAAGGGCCTTAAACAACAATGAATAACTATAGAACTCTGCTCCTCTGGACTCCGATGATCATGTCTGCAGGAACCCACAAACAGAATTTTTTTTTGAGACAGGATTTCGACATGTAGTTCATGCTGGCCTTGAGCTCACTTTGTAGCCTCAGCTGGCCTTGAACTCAGCAGTCCTCCTGCCTCAACCTCCCAAGTACTGGGATTACGGGCATATACCTCCACACCTGGTTAAACTGAGGACAATTTTAACCTGAGAAACTAATTGCTAGTACACCTAGAATGCCTCTGCAAGAAAATACAAAACTCTTGGAAATAATTAGCCATCAACTCAAACCATAGGCAGCTCACAGATATAATGCGACCTAAAATTACCTAACCCTCAGAAATTACAAAACATATAAGGAAGCATTTCTTTGATGATGAAGAGCAGATTTGATGAATAGGATTGGAGCCCTAAGAATTTGAGTTAGCTCAATTTATTGACAGTGTTACAAAGAATATATTATTGATTAAAGATATAAAATGAATTGACAAGCTATGGTCTGCAGTAAAATCAAAATGTACTGGAACAAAGTCATGCTCATTCATTCATGTCTTTTTGTGGCTGCTTTTATACTACAACTGCACTATCATTCTACCACTGAGCCACTGCTGTAGTCCTTTTTAAATTTTTATTTGAAAGAGTCTTCCCAAAATCCTGAGGCTGAATTCAAACTTGTGATCATTCTGCCTCTACTTTGTGTGTATAGACCTGGCTTGCTGATTGACTGACTGACCGATTGGCTGAGATGGGGCCTTGCTGTCTTGTCCAACCTGGCCTTGAATTCCTGGGCACAAGAGATCCTCATGTAGCAGTCTCCAAAAGGCTAGGACTCCATGTGTGCCACTGTATCTAGATTAAATTTTAAAACTGAATTACATATGCTGCAGCATGATTGAACACTGGAAAACTTGGTCCTGAGTTGTATGAGTTGTCCAGACTAGATAAGTTCATAGAAGCAAAAACTAAATAGATATTACTTAGGCTGGTAACTTAGAGGAGGGAAATGGGGTATGATGGCTAATAGGCCTCGGTTTATTTTGTTTTGTTTCAGTTTTTGGTCTTTTTGCAACATGGTTTCATTGTGCAATTCAGGTTGGCATTGAACTCACTTTGTAGCCCAGGCTGGCCTTACACTCAGGACAATCCTGCCTCAGCCTCCTCCTAAATGCTGAAATTACAGGAGTGTGCCACTGTGCCCAGCCTTGGTTTCTTTTGAAGAAAAGAAAATATGAAATTGATTTGTAGTCGTGGCTGTATAGCTGAATGTACTAAAAGTCATTAAGTTCTATACTTTTGATAGTATTATACAATAGACTGATTTTTTAAAATGCTTAATGGCATATAACTAGGAAAAAATGCCAGACTGTATCTATCTGTGTTGCAGATTTCATGCTGAAAGAGCTATTGGTATCATCACCCACATCCTACCTGAAGATCATCTTCTTTTGGCTTCTTCAAAGAGGGTGAAAGGTACCCTTTAGATGATTTGAAGTTAATGATAGATAGCAGAAAATAGGAGTATTTATTTTCTCAGACATGGTAGGATTTAACTGTATCCATTACTTTTAAGTAACCAGTCCTCTCAATTCCACTTAAGATTTCCAATGGTTCTTAATGAGAGATTGCTTACCAATTTTCCTATATTGTTGTTAATATGCCTTGCTTTTTTCTTTTGTCTTTTATTCGTTCATGCTTGCATTAATTTCTTCTAAGACATGGAGGAATTAACACAAGTAATTCCATAATAACATGGGTAGAAACTTTAAGATGCACTTCTAGGTTTAGGTTTATAGCACAGAATTCTTAAATTGAGCTTTAGGTGACCCTGTGTGTTTTAAGACTTGATAAATACTTTTTTTTATAATGGCCACCAGTGCTCTTTGATTTGATGCGTTTTTTCACATGATTGGTTACCCTTGTGATAGTTTCCTGTATGTTGGTAAGCTATACCTTAATTCTGGATGGAGTTGTTTCTCCTTTTATGTTGACAGTTAAGTTACCCAGGTTACACTTGATTAGTTTCCAAAAAAAATATTACATAGAAAAAAGAAAGTTACCTAAACTTCGACCAGTCTTGAATCAGTATTTTGGTGAATATTATTTTAGACTTTTTTTTTTTTTTAATTGGCACCAGGGATCAAACTCACGACTGCCTGCTTGCAAGGCAGGTGCTTATGCTGCTGAGCTAAATCCCCAGCCCCTATTTTAGACCTTTTTAACATAAGATAATTAATGAGTAATTTATGTTTTTTAAACTTTTTTTTAGCGATTGTGAATATTTTTTCATTTCAATGCATGACGATAATTAACCTTTTTTTCTAATGTATTTAACCTAATCTCTATTATTGGACCTTTGTATTGTTTTCTAACCTTTAAAAAAATACTTAATGCTGTTTGTTTGTTTGTTTGTTTGTTTGTTTAGTTAGTTAGTTATGTATTTATTCTAGTTCCGGGAATCAAACTCAGGACCTTGTGCTTGCCAAGCAGGCACTTGGGCCACTGAGCTGTGTTCCTGGCCCCTTAATGCTTTTTAATTCTCTAAAACTACCACGATGGGGGCTGGGGATTTAGCTCAGTGGCATAAGCACCTGCCTTGCAAGGAGGCAGTCGTGGGTTCGATCCCCGGTACCAATAAAAAGGAAAAAGACAAAAAAAAAAAAAAAAAAAAAAAAAACAACCACAATGATATAAATCTCTTCTATTTACCTTTGTGCACAATGACAGTTTTCCAGGAAATGAAATTGCCTAGTAAAAAGTGTTTTTCTTTTTGTGGCTGGGGATCAAACCCAGGACCTTGTACATGCAAGGTGGGAACTCTACCACTGAGCCACATCCCCAGCCCCAGAATATGTACGTTCTTAAAAACTTAGATGAAGTATGAAAGTCTCGAATGTCACTTTGAAATTAAAACATCTTCTAACCTGATTTTGTGGATGAAGTGAGTAAGAAGAAACTGGTTCTTTTAGTTATGTTTGGTTAAAGGTTATGTTTTATAAAAGATGGTTTCAAAAATTTTTTAGAAGTACTTATTCCTTGACACAGTTTCATAACTAGAAAAATTTCACCTGTTCCTGACATTCACTTTTAAAAAACATTCTCTTCAGCAAAGCACAGGAATCTAATAAAGTAGAAGCTTACATTTTGCAAAACAATTTGATATATATCATTTTTCTTAAATTTAAATTCATTATGCTGTACGAAATACAATGATTTCCCCAAAAGTATACTGTTTAGGACCAGGGATTTAGCTCAGTGGCATAAGCACCTGCCTGGCAAAGCACACAATCGTGAGTTCAATCCCCGGTACAAAAAAAAAAAAAGTATACTGTTTATTATTAAAGTAGACTATTTTGATGGGTATGATGGTGCACACTTGTAATCCCAGCGCTTGAGAAGCTGAGGCAGGAGAATTGCTGCAAGTTCGAGGCCAAGCCTCGGCTATATAGTGAGTTTAAGGCTAGTGTAAACTGTACCAAGACTCTCAAAAACCAAAAATAAATAAAGTAGAATATTTGGATCTTGACCATTTCTAAACCATAGTCACATATATTTGATAAGTATATTTAATTTTCAACTAGATGTTCAGATTGGCTTAAAGGTGCACTAATTTGTTTCTTTCCTTATTCAGCACTTATTTTAGAGGAGATTGCAATTGATTGTCATAATAAGGAAACAGAACAGAGGCTGCTTCAAGAAGCTCATGATTTGCACCTGTCTTCACTCCAGCTAGCTAAAAAGGCTTTTGGGGAATTTAATGTACAGACTGCAAAACACTATGGTAACCTTGGAAGACTTTATCAGTCAATGAGAAAATTCAAGGTAAAAACATGTTTTATATTTTTCTCTTTCTAAATAAATCGCAAATCGTAAATTTTTAGTAATTTTAACAATAATATGCATTCATACCTATTCCATAAAGGAAGTAAGAAAACAGCTAGTATAAAGCAGCATAAAATAAAATCTATACAAATAATATACATAAAATTAGAGAATTAAGACCATGAAAAAGATGTGAAAATACCAAATCAGTAAGGCTAATATTATTGTTATGTTTAGATTACAAACAGTTCTTAGCTAAGTATAAACAGCTGGCTCCTGGCAGAATACTTAGTACATGGTAGGTATGAAAGAAATATCAGATATTAATAGTTGGTAGGTATGAAAGAAATATCAGATATTAATAATAAGAATTAATTTTAGACTGATTAGTAAAGTATTACTAATTGTAGCAATAAAATTATTTACATTAAATCTTAAGAATTTGGGTTATAAAATCTTACTGTTTTCAATTTGGAAATCTAATAAGGGAAAATGAGAATCTGCTCAAAATGTTCATTTTGTCCCTCTGTCTGAATGTATTTTGTTAGTATAAGAGTTATCTGTAGAAAGGGGCTGGGGATTTAGCTCAGCGGCATAAGCGCCTGCCTTGCAAACAGGCAGTTGTGAGTTTGATCCCCGGTACCGATAAAAAAAAAAAGACAAAAAAAAAAAAAAAAAAACCCAAAAATAGTTATCTGAAAATAGAGTGTATGTCTATAGAAATTAATACCTTAATAATATCCAGTTAAAGTTTTAGAATATGGCTGGGGATTTAGCTCAGCAGCATAAGCGCCTGCCTGGCAAGCAAGAGGTCATGAGTTCAACCCCCAGTACCAAAAAACAAAAAAAACAAAGCTTTGGAATATGTTATTGAAAAGAAATAATTTGTATTTTAGGATTCTTAATTTCTTCTAACAATTTTAATCTTTTCCTGTTAATTTCTAGCAGTTTTTTATTACTTAAGTTTTCACATTGCTTTTGGTCATAGGCACTATTACTATCATCAGCTTGTGATAGTAAGTTCTTCACCTGTTACCTGTGGCATTCATAAGCTCTCTTTTGACATTTCAAAGACTCTTACTCATTGAGTAAAAACTGTTGATGTAGAAAAATTACTATCTAATGATTGATGTGGTATATTTTTCAGGAAGCTGAAGAAATGCACATCAAAGCAATTCAAATTAAAGAGCAACTTCTTGGTCAAGAAGATTATGAAGTAGCCCTTTCAGTGGGACATCTGGCTTCTTTGTATAATTACGATATGAATCAGTATGAAAATGCTGAGAAACTTTATTTGCGATCTATAGCAATTGGTATGTTTTCTTTACATTTTCTTAGTCAGTTGATTGACTATATGTTGTATAAGGGAAGGGCTCAAATGAGACATAAATGAGTTTAGATTTACACAGGACACCTAGAAACCATCCAAAAATCATCATCTGGAAGAGTCTTACTAAAGGTGTTTTTTTGCTGTTGAGATCAGTAATAAGGTACAGCACTAGGTGTCAAGCATAGGTAGAAGTAGTTATTTTCAGCTATTTGTGCAGTTGCTATCTCTGCCCTCCCCTCCTTCCTCCTGTTTACGTGACTTTGGGGGGAGGCACAGTACTGCAGAATGAACCCAGACCTTCACGGCAACATACATTCCTTGCTCTGGGCCAAGTGTCCCCATGCTTTAGTTTTGTGGCAGACTCTCAGCAAGTTGCCCAGGCTTGCTTCTAGTCCTACTATCTCAGCTGCACAGGATGCTGGGTTTACAGGGGTTCACTACTACCCCTGGCCTGTGTTGACTTTTTTTTAGTGAATTTTAATTGTAAAATACATTTGCTGTGTTAACATATCACTGGCACTTGTGAATTTCCAGTACTCTGTAATATTTATTGCATTCATGTGTCATCTATTCCACTGTAAATGGATACAGGGAACATTTCAGTTATTTCCATTTCAAGGTATTATAAGTTACTGCGGCCATCATCTTACAGAGTATGTGTTAAACCTTGCATGTTTTTATAGGGAGTGACTTTATCATTTGTTTAATGATTTATGGAAATTCTTTATGTACTATAGACGTGATAAGCCCTTTGTTAGTTACATGTGTTGCAGATACCTTCTCATTCATGTCTTTGAAACTCAAATGCAGGGTCTCGCTATGCAGTTCAGGCTGGTCTTGAGCTCACTTCATAGCCTAGGCTTGTCTCAAACTCTCAACAGTACTCCTGCCTCAGCCTCTCAAGTGCTGGGATGAAGTGCTGGGATTGCAGGCATGTGCCAAGGCTGGCTTAATAGTGTCTTTTTTAAGGAAGAGGAGTGCTTGGTTTTAATGTAATTAAATGTATCAATTTTTTTCTTTTGTGGTTATCACTTTTCATACTCATTTTTGAGAATCTTTTTCTACCCCAGACATGAGGTTGTAAATTCAACCCCCAGTACCAAAAAAAAGAAAGCAATTTTATCTTTTGGGAACTTTGTTTAACCATATACATTTAGAACTACAGTCCTAAAATTGACTTTAGTTTATGGTATAAGGACTTACATTTCATTCTTTCACATATAAATACACAGTTGACTCAGGGCCGTTTTTTTTCAGAAGACCGTCCTTTTCCCTTTCTTGTGTTTTATCGTAAATCATATATCCATTTATATGTGGGTGTCTCCCATTAGCCATAATATACTGACCTACTGGGGCTGGGGATTTAGCTCAGCGGCATAAGCGCCTTCCTTGCAAGTGTGTGGTCGTGAGTTCGATCCCTGGCACCGATAAAAAGGAAAAAGACAAAAAAAGAAAAAAGAAAAAAAAATGTACTGACCTACTTTGAAGAGTCCAGTGTTTGTTTATAGTAATCTTTGTCTTTAGCCTGCAAGTTGTACGTATCCAGAACATGTTGTCCAAAAGTACCACAGTTGAAATTATCTCCCTGCCGCCTCCTCCTTCGATGTGGTTATGTTACTCACAGGAGAAGCAGTCAGATTCATTTATTGTATTTTGCTCCCTCCATCTTTTTTTGGAGGGAGGAGTGGGGGGGACAGGGTCTTGCTGTACAGTTCAGGCTGGCCTTGAATTCCCTGTTCCCAGGCTGGCCTCAGACTCACAGTGACCCTCCTGCTTCAGCTTCCTGAGTACTCAAATTAAAGATGTCCTGCCAGCACATGCAGTTGTTAATTGTTTTTTGAGTATCCAAAATACTGATATTTTCAGATTCCCAGTTGGAGCCGGGCATAGTGGCATCTACCTGCAATCCTGCATATACCTGTAATCCAAGCACTTGATAGACAAAAGGGTTGTGGAGAATTTGAGGCCAACCTGGGATATATAGTGAGTTCAAAGCCAGCCTGAACTACAGTCATAACTTCCCTTAAAACCATGAAATTTTATGATTCTATTTTAGTAAAGCTCAAATTTAAAGTCACAAATGGGTTGAAAGGTGCTGACAAAAGAATCTGTTCTATTACGGAGTATGAAACCAAGCCAGCCTGTTTAAAAGTTACACTTGTGTTTGTATGGAAAAAATACTGCTTGTAGCTGGTGTGATGTTACACACCTGTAGTCCCAGCACTCAAGAGGCAGGAAAATCACCGAGAGTTCGAAGCCTGCCTAGGCTGCATTGTAAGCTCACGGCCAGACTGAACCACGTAGTGAGACCCCCGTCTTAGTGACAACAGCAACAATAAAACAAGAAGTACGGCTTGCTGTTTCCTCATTTGAACTTTCTTTCTTCCTTTGATTATTTTCAGGGAAGAAACTTTTTGGTGAAGGCTACAGTGGACTAGAATATGATTACCGAGGTCTCATTAAACTTTACAACTCCATTGGAAATTACGAGAAAGTGTTTGAATATCACAATGTTCTGTCTAACTGGAACCGGTTGCGAGATCGGCAGTATTCAGTGACCGATGCCCTTGAGGATGTCAACACCAGCCCCCAGTCCACTGAAGAAGTGGTGCAGTCCTTCCTAGTTTCTCAGAATGTCGAGGGACCAAGCTGCTGAGGGACCACCTCAGTTAACCAATTACCTTTTCCCAGATTCCAGGGAATTAATTCATACTGTGAAATCAAAACCATGTTGTTTTTGAGGGCTGGAATTTGCATTGAAACACTGGTCCAGTCCATTGAAGACCCTATTTTGGGTAATGCCTATGTTGCAGAGTGTCCGTAGAATAAGCATATATTCAGTTATACTCCGCATGTACCGCATGTATAAGTAGTCTGGCCCACATTTTCAACCTAGTAGAACAAACAACAGGAGAATCTTTTTCTTTTTCTTTTTTTTTTTTTTTTCTTCTTTTTAAAAAAATAATTCATTTTGCAGTAAGCCTGAAAGAAAAAAAAAAGAACCCCTAAATAAAACTATTTAAGAGTTTAAAAGAGTTGCATTCTTATTATGTAAGGATGATTTTAACAACTTTTTAACATATACTTCTTCCATGTGAAGGTATTCAATACTGTCTTGTAAAGAAATTTTATGGGGAAAATCTTTATATGCAGTATAGAAAAGTTGACACAAGCACTAATAAAAATGAGACATCCTAACTTGTGTTTGGCCGCCTTACCTAGAGAAGTGTACATAACCACTCCAGAGCTTTGTAATGCGGGAAGGGCTGTCAGTCATCTGTACTGGACCAGTGTTGATCTGTAAGTAACAGAAATCTGTTCTGTTTTTGGTACAGCAGTGCAAGATGCTCTAATTGTGTTTGCTAACAGGACCAGAAAAACTTTTAAAAGGACCAGCCTATTGTAGAAGGCGGTTATTTGGACCAGAGGCTTTAGACGATTATTTTAGTCCCTGAATATATCTTTATCAATAGAACGAGTCATTTAGCTGTATAATGGAAAGTGATAGTGCAGAGAATTACAGTCATATAATAGATGCCACGCTAGGGAAGTGTGGCGGTGCCAGTGGCATTTCTTTAGTCATGGTGCACAGATGGCAATGCCGTCTGGAAATACCTGCTGCGGCTACCACCCGCATTTTCAATGTTCCCCTAACTATAAATGCCATTAATAGGTGTGTTGGCTAGAGTTGTAAAATAGTTCATGCTCAGATGGGAATTTTAGATCACTACATGGTTTTTGGGATTATGGAAAATAAATGCCCAAAAATAAAATCTTAGAAAATTCTTCATTTTTATAATAAATAATAGTAAAACTGAAGTTATTGTATTTGAAGTCCAGGGATCAAATGGGAAGATCCCCTAATGATATGTCTGTTTCACTAATTTGTTTATTTTGTTTTGATTTCTTTTTTTAAGCCAGTGGTGGGTTATTTAATTGAGGTAATTTTCAAATTGGGTAAGTTGTGACATGTAGCAAACCAAGAAACAAAAAGGTCTTTTGCTGTTACCTCAATTCTTAAGATAGTGGCCCGTCTGGTGCCTCTAGAGTTAAGAATCTGAGTTTCTCCCCTATTTTCAGGGGTTCATGATTGGCTGTTAGAGATACTGCTCTTGGCTAATGCTTGGAGTACTTTGTGGGTGAGTGGATGAGTGTTGAATTTAGTTTTCTTCTAACATGAATATGGGTTGAAAGGGGAAAAGAGATCTAACCTGTCTGTTATAGGGTACAGAAGAGTCAATGGAGATTGCAAATTTTAAATACTTGTTGAACTTCCCAACTTTAACCCTGTTTGGATTTGCTGTTTGCAGTCTTGTGAAGAGTTAGTGCTTTTCGGTCCTCAGAAGGTGATTTATTGGGGACTATACCGAAAGAAATGAAGCTGGCCCACACTCTAGGATGATAACTGTGGTTTTTGAAACCTGGGTGTATTCCTCAGATTGAACTATTTTCTTGTTAATTTCAGGAAAGAATAATTTGACACACCTGTAGTTGAAGTTTGTCCCTCTCAGTTAATTATAGCCTAATGCCAAGAGTCACCCTTTATTATTTACCAAATAGTAATCTGTGTGACCAGGGACTAACATTTTTAAGTCACTCAACTCTGTCCTCATGGGCCTATATATTTAATACCTCCAAAGATATTTTCAGGATAGACTTTGTATCCTTTTGGTTAGAGTCCTGTGGTATGTTTGTGGTATAGGAATGTCATGGTAAATTGTTTTTCAATAAATATTTTGAAACTTATGTTTCCATATGAAGTTTTTTATTTTTTTATTTTTTGGTTCTGTACACATACACCATTTCCTAGAATAAAATAAACAAATGACTTAGGGCCTCATCCTCCTTAGCTCAGCTTAGCTCACACTCTAATAAAGTAACATGCTATTTAGAAGCCTAGGATCTGGGATGATGTCAGGTGACAGACACTTGTTCCTTTTCTTTGGTTTTCAGATATTACTGACATTTCTCCTTTAACCACTGCTTTAGTGTAATTCCTAATACCTATAAATGTTGATATAATGCCTGCCCTTTAGCTAAGGAAACAGAAGTCTTTTAAAACAAAACGGAACATTGCTGTGTTATATTAGGCTGTGACTTGTAGCATCATTATTTCTGAATCTAATTTTTAAAAATACCCTAACTTAAGTACAGGGCTTATTCTTTTAATAAAGATATTTGGAGTGAGATGAATGCCATATGACTTACAACTTTAAAAAAAAAAACCTAAGGATGAAATTTGCCTCACAATAACCAGTAGCTTGTACAGGTTTTTTTTTTTTTCCGTACGTGTGTTAGGATGCCCTGGCCAGCCGAAAAAGATGTTTCTGGAGGTTTAGTGAAGTAATGTTAGACGCAGGCCTTTGGCCTCATCCTTCCTGACTCGTCATTTACCCAGTCTTATTCCTAAATTGTGGTGCTACTCCAGCTGGGGGCATCAGGGAGCCGTCAGGCGTGCCACAGTGCAGTCAGTCACTGGGATTCTGTGTGAGTTCTTCACAGCGTAATCGTTACAGGCCCCCCAGAACTGACTTTGCCTAGAGGGTTAGAACCCTTCTTCCCATCACCTCTCTTCTTTGGTTAAAAATGAATTCACTTTTACTTTGTAGTAACCCTTGTCCACGTATTCTTGCACTGTAATGAAAACCTTTGTTCCTAGTCTGTTAGGAAGAGTTCATAATCTTATAAAAATTAAGTATAGAAAGCTGAGCACAATGGCACACATCTATAGTATCAGCCACTCAGGAGGCTGAGGCAAGAGGATCACTTGAGCCCATAAATTCCAGACCAACCTGGGCAACGTAGCAAGACCCCCATCAAGAAAGTTAAGTACAGGAAATGCAGTCTTATAAGAATAAAAGTGCCATGTGGCTGCTCGTTATAGTGCAGACAGAAAGCTGAGCAGTAAACACATGCCCAAAGCATGTTTGCAACTTTCAGTTAAAATTACAAACTGATAGAATGATTTACTAAATGACAGGAATCATTAACTGCCACTTTTTTCCCCTCCTCTGCATTCCTATCCTTGCTCCAAACTTCTTTTTCTGTATAGCAAAGTTACTACTGGAAAAATAGAAGTACTAATCTTTGGAAGAGTTCTATTTTTGCTTTTTAAAAAATGGAGTGCATATCGGGGCTGGGGATTTAGCTCAGCGGCATAAGCACCTGCCTTGCAAGCAGGCAGTCGTGAGTTCGATCCCTGGTACCGATAAAAAAAGGAAAAAGACAAAAAAAAAAAAAAAAAAAATGGAGTGCATATTATATTCCACCTCAAGTTACCAGGAATTTTTTAAAAATACGACATGCAGATTAATCTCCAGCTTGAACACTAGTAGTAGTCCACAAATCTCAGGAAAGTTTTAGGCAGAAAACTGGTTTTACCCTGTTGATGATTTGAAGGAGTGTGCTTTTGGAGTTATTAAATAATACTATTCTTACTTGCAATCCTAGGTATCTAGCATGAGTGGCCTTAGTGAGTTTGTTGACGTGCACATGTTTTTCAAAAGTAAAATTTACGATTAAATATATATGCTATATATAGATATCTAGAAAACTTGGTTTGTGGTGCACAGTTAAGTGTTGGATCACTAAATAATCATTGCAGGTACCATTTGTGTAACATTACTCATTTCTGTATATTCCTTTTGTGGGAAGACATGTTGCCATGGTAACTAAAAACCTTTTCAATTTGGTTCTACTTTTATGATGTGAATGAAATGCTACATTTTATTAAATATTACCAGGTCAGTACTATTTTTCTACTTTACTAAGCAACAGGGGATTTTAATTTAATAGGCTCAAAATAAAAAGCTCTTAATGGAATAATTAAAAATAAGTCACTAACATTCTTTACAGGAAAATCCCCACTACTAGTGCCACAGTAATTTCTATAGAAATATCTAAGGTCATTAATAGATTTTTGAAGACAGCTCATTGTGTCAAATGACCTTTCATACCATTCTCACTGACTTGTAGTGGCCACCGTTATTTGTAACTATTACACCATACTAAGTATGTTTGTAACCAGCATTGTGATATATTCTGTACTTGTATTGCTAAAAATGAATTATTGATCTAATAAATATAGTGTTCCTGCATTCGTAGTGTATCTGTTTCCAATTTATTTGCATTTGCTTTGGGTCAAGACTCTGGGTTAAATTTTGCGGACTTCTTATTAGGGAGCAGCGTGAGAGGAACTGTTGGAACCAGAACAAATGTGCGCTTGCTTAGGAAAATGAGATGTGTGGAGGCGGCTCACCAGGTGACAGCATCCAGGAGGGTGCTGTGGCCACTGCATTGTAAACTGCACAGGAGGTGTTTTCACTCAAGAAAGCACAGGTAAGGCGCTGTCCGCGAGTCTGCCTGCTCTCCAGGCTGAATACGTAGTGAGTGAGACGCGGTAGCTTCTGCGGGAACAGGGGAGAGATGCTAGATCCGGGTTTCAGGTCCAGCACTGCCTCTAACCTGCAGGTTACATAATTATCGCCCTCTGCATGTATCATTTCTTTCTGTCGGGGTGGGGGAAGTCTTTTAAACACCTATACCATGGGGTTGGGGGTTTAGCTCAGTGGCACAAGCACCTACCTGGCAAGCATGACGTTTTGAGTTCAATTCCCAGTACCAAAACAAACACAAAACAGCATAAACCTTAAACTTTAGCTGAGCACAGTGGCGCACTCCTGTAAATGCCAGCACTTGGGAGGCTGAGGCAGGAGGATCATTGCAAGTTGGAGACCAGCCTGGGTTACAAACAGCTCAAAGCTAGCCAGAACTGTAGCAAGACCTTGTCTCAGAAAGACAGAAAAAAGTTGGGGCTGGAGATTTAGCTCAGCGGCATAAGCGCCTGCCTTGCAAGCAGGCAGTTGTGAGTTCCATCCCAGGTACCGATAAAAAGGAAAAAGAAAAAAAAAACAGAAAAAAGTCTTAGACATTCAAAAGACATCTACAGGAAACGAAGCCACCTTTTAAAAAAATTATAAAGAACATAAGCCAAATGTCACTTGCATCTACTTCATTGTCTGCATCTTCAGAAATACTAAAATTGCAAAGTTTTTATATCTCCAGGACTTCGACCTTTTGAACATTCCCCTCTCACGTTGAATGCTATTTCCTGTGGAGTCTTAAAGAGAAGGCCAAAGCAAGCCTTTAAAGCTTAAATTTCCACTTGTTGGTACTGACGTGGCATTTTATTCAGAGCTTTGGTAAAACAGTTCCCATAGTCATATAGTTTATAGTATTGAGACATCTAACACTAGGATATAGCTCAGTGGTAGACTAAATACCTTGTGCATGTGTTTGTCCTGGGTTTGATTCCCTAGCATTTACTAAGAAAAGAAAAAAAAAACCTTCCATCTTAAAAGACTGATAGGCCATTGATTTAACAAACAGATTCTGTTTTAAGGTGTCAGCTTCCAGGCCTGGTGGCGTTTGCTTTTAGTCCCAGTGACTTGGGAGGCTAAGCCAGGAGTATGGAAAGTTTGAGGCCAGCCCAGACAACACAATGAGACCTGTTTTAAAAAAAAAAAAAAAAAAATGTTTTTAAACAAACGACACCTAGGTACTGTAAACATTCATTCCTATAGTTACAAAGTTTAAGATAGGGCTGAGCATATTCCCTGCTAACAAAGCATATGGCCCTTGTTCAATCCTCAGACCCCTCAAAAATACAAAAGCCATGTATTAGAATGACTTGTCCAGGCCTGGGTGTAGCTTAATATTGTAGTAGAGCACTAGGATGCAAAGGGCCCTTTTTCTGACAGCCAAAAATGGTCAGAAAGAAACGTTGGCCAGGGTGCAGGGAAATGGGAGCCCCTCCACTGTTGGTAGGAATGTGTAACTGTGTGTCTGTATGGAAAAGAGTATGGAGGATCTTAAAAAACTTAAAATTATATGATGGAGCAATTCCAGGTATGCCCCAAAATTGATAGGGCTTTATGTAGTCCCAGCACTCTGGGAGTCTGAGGCAGGAGGATCACAAATTTGAGCCCAATCTGGGTGACTGACAATTTTGCAAGACCGTGTCTAAAAAAGGAAAAATGGCTGTGGTTGTAGCTCAGTGCAGAGGCCCTGGGTTCAATCCCTAGTAACACACACATACACAATTTAAAAGTTCAAACTGATCCCTACATACCCACTCTCATAGCATTATTCACAATAGCCAAAGGCAGAGATAGCCCAAAGTCCATCAGATAAAATGTAGCAGATAATAAGAATGAACTACTACTGCACCTTACAGACATTAGCTTCCAACCACGGGTGAACCTTGACGACATCCTCTGCATGTGGATAGTCAGGGGTTTTTTGTTTTGTTTTGTTTTGTCTTTTTCCTTTTTATCGGTACCAGGAATTGAACTCATGACTGCCTGCTTGTAAGGCAGGTGCTTATTCCGCTGAGCTAAATCCCCAGCCCCTGGATAGTCAGTTTTCCCAGCACCGTTTATTAAAGAGGCTGTCTTTTCACCAGTGTATATTTTCGGCCCATTTGTCAAAAATCAAATAGTTGAATGTGCGTGGGGTTGCTTCTATATCCTCCTTCTGTCCCGCTGAGCTACATGGCTGTTCTTTGCCGGCACCATGCCGTTTTATCAGTTTTGTAATATACCTTCAAGTTTGGGATGGTGGTGTCTCCCACTTCGTTCTTGTTACCCAGGATTGCTTTTGCTCTTCTGGGTCTCTTCTTGTTCCATGTGAGTTTCAGGATTATTTGGCCCAGTTCTGTGAAGAATTCTGTTGGTATTTTTATTGGCATTCCATTAGATCTGTATATCAATTTTGGAAGTAAGGCCATTTTAATTATACAGGTTTTGCCCCTCCAGGAAAAGAGGATAGCTTTCCACTTTCTGATGTCCTCTTTGGCTTCCTTTTTCAAAATGCTGTAGTTGGGGCTGGGGATTTAGCTCAGCCGCATAAGCACCTGCCTTGCAAGCAGGTAGTCATGAGTTCGATCCCTGGTACCGAAAAAGACAAAAAACAAAACAAAAAACCCAAAATGCGGTATTTTTTTTTCCAAATCCATTGTATTTCAAGGAAAAAAACCCTGAAACTATTTCAAAGCATGCAATTGCAACAATGGTGCATACACTGTACATACATTATCACCTCCAAATCATTCACCCAGAGCACAGGACATCTGCATTCAACTGTCTGGACAATACCAACACAGATCCTTTTCTTCAGTGAACTCAGAGAAATCAGTAGTGTATCTATCTTCACAGTTTTTTATATACATACATACACATATGCATATGTTGTTTCAGCTTCTTACACTAGTGAGACAACATGATGTTTACACATATGTGTCTTTTTACTTCACTTATAAACATGGTTTCAAGTTGCATCCATTTACCTTATGGCTGAGTTGTACTCCATTGTACAAAAATATCACAGCTATTTTATCCATTCCTCAGTCGATGGGCATTTAGGTTGTATTCAAGATCTGGCTATTACAAATTCTGCTGTTATAAACATGGGTGCACATATATTGCTTTGGTGTAATGTTTTTAATTCTTTTTGGAAGATACCCAGGGGAATAGCTGACTCAAATGGGACCTGTGGACCTAGTTTTTTGAGGAATCTCCACACTAATGTCCAGGGTGGTTGCACCAGTCTACACTCCTCCCAACAGTGAAGAGTGTTCCTTTTCCCCCACAGTCCCTCCAGCATTTGTTATGGGTTGATATCTTGATAATAGCCATTCTTTCTGGGGTGAGGTAGAATCTCAATATTTTAATTTGCATTTCTTGAATGACTGGTGATGTTGAACAGTTTTTCATATATTTATTTGCTGTTTGGATTCCTCCATCTGAGAAGTGTGTCTGAAAATGCTGTAGTTCTAATTGGTCTTTTACTTCCTTAATCAAGTTAATTCTTCAGCACAGTTTCACAAATTTAATTCTTGCCATCATTCTGGTCGCAAACTGAAATAAATGGGAACCGAATCAAATTCAATGGTTGGGTTTAATGTTGACCTTATGGGGAAATTTGTTTTGGTTTGGGTCTAACTTGGTTTGCAACTAAAATTGTGGAAAGAATTAAGTTTGTGGACCAAGGTACCGTTGTATTTAATCTTTCTTGGTGCTATCATGAATGATATTTTTTTCTTAATGATATCTTTTTCTTTCTCAGTGGGTTATTGTAGTGGGTTATTATTATTAGAGAGGAATGCTATTGATTTTTGTGTGCTGATTTTGTATCATGCTGTATAGAAATTTGGTTATTAATTCCAAGTCTTTAGGTAGAATTTTTGCAGAGGATCATGTCAACTGCAAATAATGATAACTTGATTTTTTCCTTTTCTATACATATCCCTTTCATTTTTTACTACTCTAATTGTTCTTGCAAATGTTTTGAGTACTATATTGAACAGGCATAATGATAGTAGGCATCCTGTCTTGTTCCTGATTTTAAATAACTATAGAAAAGATTGGACTTCCCCATATGATACAGCCTATACATATACTCCAATTCATAAGTACAGTTTAACCTTCATATTTGTGAAGGTTATATATGTGTGTGTATATATATATATATATATATATATACACACACACACATATTTTACATATAGTATTGCTATAATGTAAGTAAATTTCAGATAATGATTCAAACCTAAGTACTGAAACCTGAGAAATGCTAGAAGGGAACATAAGAGACCTTTTTTGTTGTTTTTTTCCCGGTACCGAGGATCAAACTCAAGGCAAGTGCTTGTACCACTGAGCTAAATCCTCGGCCCTACATAAGAGAATTTTAAATATTCTTTGAATGAAAAAGGCCTATCAAGGTCAGAAAAAGTCATAAAAGGAGAGATAGAAGCCAGGTATGATGGTGCATGTCTGTCATCCCAGCATTCTCACGGGCTGGGCTGAGGCAGAAAGATTGTAAGTTTGAGCCCCACCCAGGCAATTTAGGCTTTAGGGAGATCCTGTCTCAAAAATAAGAAGGGCTGAAAAAAAAAAAAAAAAAAAAGAAGGGCTGGAGATGTTCAGTATGAGGGGGACTGATGATTTAACAATGTAAAGATAGAAAGTACAAGGGCTGGGGATTTAGCTCAGCGGCATAAGTGCCTGAAGGTTGTGAGTTCAGTCCCGGGTACCCCCAA